TAATATCTACATCAAAATGATATTTTACACAATATAATATAATATAATATAATATAATATAATATAATATAATATAATATAATATAATATGCACTAAAGAATGTTGGTAAGTCTGATTACAACGAAAGTGTACGTTAACATATACCCAACTGTCGCTTCTCCTTTCATTCTTCTGCTATACGTCTATTATATAGGCGCCTTTAATCATTAATCAAGCCGACCCCCAGGGGCTGTACAGTGACCATCTGTCTCGGTCATTAGCAGCTAATTGATATGTGTAGGGCCAATGACTCATCGGTCAAATGTTACTGACAAAACTGACCAATACAGATTCAACTGAATCTCTGCACGCCGTCAACAGACTACTTGACTCGGGTTGCTTTTGCTAAATTTACTGAATGCTTTCAATCGTACTACTGTGTTATTTTATTCATAGTCTCTCTCAAAGGATATTTGATATTTTTTACTTGAGATATTGGGCCTTTCTGTAAAAATCTTGTCAAGTGATATTTGACAGGTAAGTTTAGGTTAATAATAAAGAAATTTGTATTTTTCATAAAAAATTCCAATATCTTTATCGCACAAAAAAAACCTTCATACATGTAATAATGTCTTGCTTTACCACAACTGTTTTTGTTCTTTCTTTATTCTTTTCTTTTCTTCTTTTTTTCGGTTAGACTACGAGTAGTTTTCGTGAAGTGTCATCACACTCACAGATAGGATTGATACAATGAAACAAAAGTAATGAGATATGGTGTATTTATTTAACGTAACGATATCATATATTTTTGGTTTACACTTAGTGTTTACAATTAAGAGAAAGATGAACGTGCGATATGTGGTTGATAAGAAATAATTGCATCTTATTACTTTTCACTGAAGAAGCAATCAGATTTGGAACAAACAAATAGCGCATTAATAATCCAGGTGTTTCATTAAAGGCCCCTCAAAGCCAGACCCTCAGTTGTTAACTGATTGCTTTAACTGCCGTCTTGCGTGCGACAGTAGGTATAAAACGGCGAAAGACTTGGAATTTATCTTTAGTTCAATAGAACCGACAGTTGTCACGGAGAGAAATTGGGGAATTTTTTCAGTCAAAAACTGTTATTCTACAAGAAAACTCCTTTGTCGGCATTCGCTGGGGGACGCTATAAGGTAAGTGTTTTTTTAATGATTTTATTTTTACTTTTATAGTTCTAATCCATTAGGTTTTTCCCCCTTGCTCTTTTACACACACACACACACACACACACAGAAATACACAAACGCGGAGATAAGAAATTCAAGCTTAATAAGTGATGCAAATTCTCAGCCGTACATGAAGTGGTTACTTTAACATGTATTAGTTATATTTTACAATGAAAAAAAAAGCGAAGGCAAAAGTTTAAATAGTACTTATAAGTTCATTGAGAACCATAAAAAAGGCCATTATAGGATCGCAATTTACTCTTTGTTGGCCACATTACTTTTGAGACAACTTATATTTATGTCTCCTTATTAACTCGAGCGAAAGTATAAGTAAAGGACAAACGCAAGTTTGGTGTTCGAAATTTGGCCAGTGACGGCCCCTTTTATTGTAAGGTCCCTCTAGTAAAGATACATAAAAAGCGAGCATGGATTTCCAGTAACGCGTATAAACCGCTTCTATACTAGTTTCTCCCACGACTCAAATAAAGTTGACATACCAAAGGATAAACCACATTAATCATTCGATCAGCCATAAAAGAGCTAAAAAGGAGAAAAAATACACCATCTTTGAATGTATGGTTGTAAATAGACTTACGGTGCTTAATTATCTGTCGCACTTATGTGCCCCTGTTACCTACGCTACAGAAAATCAGCAGAAAATATCCGTTCAAGTATTATTTACGGGTAACATGAACTTATGTCCTTTGGTCTTTTCATAAATTATTCTATCGGAAACTATATGGTGGTAGTTGAATTTGTGACGAAAATCTGACTTTAAATTAATCTTTCAACTGCTTTGTATGGCGGGAGAATTGGGTTAGGTACCAGTAATTAACTGACGGTGGAAAGTTTTGGGAAAGGGTGTGCACTCGAGTCGATCTGGCATTTTCATTTTGCTAAACCCTGAATTCACGTCACAATAAATAATATCAATATATATTTGCATATCAGTAGTCAACTCGCCCAGCTTTTGATCATGAGTATCTTAAATTGATATATCACTGTTAATGTTGAACATGGTATAAATATGAAGTCACAAAACTTGTAGACCAAATACTGTCAAACGACAACAGGAAAGTAGCTTGATTTATCTTCATTAAGGGCATTTTCTTTCGAAGAGAAAGAAACCCCATATGTTTACTCATATGAAATTTCTTCTCGCTGATACCACCACGTACGTAAAGGTGATAAATCCCTGTTCAGCGCTGGTTTGCCGCCAATAATGTACATGTGCTCGAAAAGCCAAGAGGGTAATTGTTTGTTGTTGCGGTTTTAGATCCGTTTTCCAATGTGACGTCCTTCAGCTTGCCACTTAAGACTTCAAAACATTTGCTTGCATGAGTTATTTGCATGTGCATTCGTGTTTTTCAACAGAAACTTATTTGATCTATTTTACAATTATTGTTTATGGGTGTTTATAGGAAATTATGGGATTTCATAAAGCAAAATTGCCGCACGCTGTCACGTACGTCTGACGGGTATAATATTGTTTTGCTCTTTTCTCATACTGCACCTCTTTGCCACCCGGAGGAAATCACTTGAAATAAGTGATAATTTCAGTTGCATAACAGGTCCCAATTGACCTCAAAAATCGATTCTGATATTGTGGCCAAAACAGTTTTTCTGCGTCAGTATCATGGAATATAGAGCACAAAGGTTGCACACACTACTTTCCTCGCAATAATCGAGATCATCGAACAATAGCCACTGACGCATTTAATAACATTTCACTTAGACCAGTGTTTTTGTATGAAAGGAAACGTACGCTGTTGGACACGGCTTAATAATACGTACAAAACTAATATTTTTAAGAACAGTACGAAAACTAATATCTTTAAGAACAATATGAATTGGAAACTACGGGAAAATAAACCGATTTGACAACAGTGTTAATTGCCACGTCTAAACTTACATGTCTATTAACGAGGTCAATTGGAAATGTATTGCTGCGTTATGTCGCGCAGATTAAGTAGATTTGTTAATTAAAAACATTTCATTACATGCACTTAAGAACGTACATTTCTGGCAAAAGCGTGAGTTGCGACGTGGTACTATGTAAAAAAATTGTAATTTTGCGCTTCACGCGCAAGCAGTTGACTGCGGTATTAAGAAGCCGTTGACCGAGGAAAGGATCTGGAAGATTTTCAGTCTTACGCAAAATAAAGCGTTGTAATGAAGGTTCAGTTAAATACATTCCGAAATACACCTACCGTTCAAGAGTACAGTAGTAGGTTAAAAATATAACGGGAGTAAGGTCCAAGAAGCAATAACGTGAAAGCCTAATTATCTTTACAATCACAATCAAACCATATTCAAAAATGGGAAAAAATTCCGAATCCACTTTCAAAGGATCAATAAAGTAAACACACCAGTTCTGGAAGAAGGATACCGTTACGTCCAACGACCCCAAGAATAATTCATTAATGCTCAAAAATCAAATCCGTATCTCTTATTAGATTTACTAAAAAAAGAACTCGAGATTCAATCTAAGAGACATCAATAAAAACCTGCCGTTACTTCAAATAAGGCAATCAAAAATTATTACATAATGTCAAATAAAGGATTAAGATTCCATTGGAACCAATCAATAGCACTCCAATCTGTCATTCATAGCATTTACCTAAACCATACATAAATGTATTGCTTCCTGGGGTATGTTGTTTCCGGGTATACTGATTCAAAATGCCATCGAATTGGTAATTTGGTAGACATACCAGATTGTGTTATTAACAACCAGCGTTTTGTTGATGTTCTGATTGATACTTTCGTCATACTCATGTACTTAAATAGTTTTAGTCTTCAAAATAATCTGCCATTGCAACATGTTCTTGACTTAAGGGGTAACATATGTTCGTTTTTGCCAAAAAACGGATTTCCTGGGGTAAACGACGATTTTTGCATACTTCCCAGTGGTTAATGAATCCATTCCTACATTCGAAGTTAGTCCATGTTTTTGGTATAAAGTTTGTTTTTGTAAAAAGTCCTTAAGATATATAATAAGATAATGAGATATTTTAAGAGCGTAGCCATCAAAGAAGGTCCACGTGGTCCAATAACAAGCACAGATTCCAGAATAATTGCAGTGACCGTTTTGGTGGTAAATTGGAGTTTATTACATTGTTAAGAATACTTTACAATGTTTTTAGTATGAAATATGAATCCCATATTTGTTATCCCTTTAAGCTAAACTTGTTGCATTGATTTTCACGTGTGGAAACGAGATTTAGGCGGTAATAATTTAAAAAAGGAAACAAAATATCATTTACATCATCACGATAAGAAAATGGATTGGAAGGACAGTAAAACCGGGCCAAATAATTGCCTGGACACGTTTTTACTATTCACATCAGACCTTACACTCTGCATACATGTAGCCTGCTTGCTTCTCAAAGCAAAAGGATCCAACTTCACCACTCTCACATTTCACTCCCAGCCTGCCTGTGCACATACTGTTTTTGGTAACGATGGGCCAGTATAACAGGAATGGAAGTCCGCTAGGAACTGTAGTACTCTTCCCATTACTATGTGCAGGTGACATTGGTCCCATATACGAACTCCAAATAACCTTAACCTGTACTAATGATATGGGAGCCCGGACTTCAATTACTAGGACTTCCATTCCTGTTACACCGAGACAAATAGACAATTATGAAGTAAGGTGCGGGGGTGGGGCCAAATCATCAATGTTTATTATTATAGACTACATGTATTATACTTTAGTAGTTGGAATTAGCCTATTTAATGATTAATTCGTGATTTGTTATCCTTTCTTGATTTTCAGACTAAAACACTGTAGCATCAACCCAACTGTAATGGAAAACTTGACTGAACACGTGACAACCGCACTCGCGAACGTGACCTCTTCCTTCCTTGGAGAAATCGCCACAACTATTGTCGACCAGCTTGACGATACCACATGGGAGATGACCACTACACAAGGCGGTTCTGGAAGTGGCGGGTTTTGGGCCGCCGTTGAACGGTTCCCCAACGGCACTCATCGTGGCCGAGAAGCGGGTAATTTAAACTTCTTTAATTTCATCATGCTCTCCTGCATCAGCTCCGTCGTATGCCTGGTCGGTATCTGCGGCAACACTCTGGCCTTCCTGGTGTTCCTTCGCGAGAAGAAGAAGGGGCCATCTTCGATCATCCTCCAAGCCCTTGCCGTGTCAGACAACCTCATCCTGATTAATACGCTCGTGGAGTTCTCCTTTGCCTTCTTCTACCCCCATACGGGTTTACTGGAGGACTATTTCTTCGCCCACCGCCAGTTCAGCCTGTACACCTATCCCCTCCACTACATTTTCATCACGTCGTCCACGTGGTTGCTGGTGCTTCTCACCATCCACCGCTACATCGCAGTCTGCAAGCCGCTCCACGCCAAGAAAATGTCCTCGGTGAAACACGCCCGCATCCAGGCGGCTGGCGTGTTCCTCTTCAGCATTGCCTTCAACATGCCTAAGTTCTTCGACGTTAAAGACGTCGGCATCACATACCTGACATCGTACAATGATGACATGAGCTATAAGACAGTTCTTCAGAAGAATTTCGCCCTGAAGATTAGCTATCGCATCGTGCTCACCACTTTGGTGATGTACATCATTCCGATTGGCGCCATGGCCATCATGAACGGAAAGCTGATCTCGAAGTTGAGAGAGTCCAAGAAACAACGTCTGGCAATGGGCAAGACCTCCACGGACCGCGACAGTATTAACCATATCCTTGTTGCCGTCGTCATCATCTTCATGTGCTGCACAACGCCTATATTCTTCTCGCAAATCGTCATGTCCTTCGTCGATTTCCTCCCCAGGAACGTTCTGATGAACTACTTCTATTTCATCCCGTTCTTGTTCCTACTCGTTGCCGTCAATGCCGCTCTTAACTTCTTCGTCTACACCCTGATCGGCCAGAAATTTCGTTCGGGGTTGCGCGAGATGATTTNATTTTTAGTTTTTTCAATGATATTGTCGGAAGAAGACACTTTTCATGAGACACAGTCATTTCATCAGCTTATCACAGATTTTTATTGTTGTTAATCATCATTTATACAAATTTCAGAAACACTGGACATGATTTGACAAAATTTTTAATGTTTAACTATTTTAAGTCCTGGGATTTGCCAGTCTTTTGAATGTAAATTTCAGTTTTCCCAAATATATTGTCCCAAAAAACACTTTTCAATAAACACAGTCAACTAATTAGCTTATCACAGATTTTAATTGTTGTTAAGCATCATTTGTACAATTTTCACAAATATTGGACTAGATTTGACAAAATTATTAACGTTTAACTATTTTAAGTCCTGGGATTTGACAGTCTTTTGAATGTAAATTTCAGTTTTTCCAAATATATTGTCCCCAAAAGACACTTTTCATTGCACACAGTCAACTGATCAGCTTATCACAGATTTTTATTGTTGTTAAACATCTTTTGTACAAATTTCAGAAATATTGGAAAAGCTTTGACTAAATTAATAATGCTTAACTATTTTAAGTCCTGGGTTTTGCCAGTCTTTTGAATGTAAATTTCAGTTTCCCAAATATATTGTACCCAAAAAACACTTTTCATTAGGTACAGACAACTGAATTTAATCTTGTACAGATTTTAATTGTTGTTAAAGGGATAATAACCTTTCGTTTTTGCCAAAAAATGAATTTTCCTGGAGTAAACAACAATTTTTCCATACTTACCAATGGTTAATGAATCCATGTTTACATTCAAAGTTAGTCCCTGGTTTTTTTCTAAAAAGTTTGGTTTTTTGTTATAATCTCTTAAGAGATTTTAACAGAGTATAGCCATCAATGGAGGTCACGTGGTCTAAAGAAAAGCTCAGATATCAGAATAATAGCTATAACTGCCGTTTTTGTGGTAAAAGAGAATATATTATATTTCTATGAGTTATTAACAATGTTTTTATTGTGAAATATAGATCTCATACGAAGAGTTATTATCCCTTTAAGCATCATTTGTACAAATTTCAGAAATATTGGACTAGATTTGACAAAATTATTAACATTTAACTATTTTAAGTCATTGAATTTGATATGTCAGATAAACAATATTGTGGCAAGTAATTTCCTATTCCTTTTAGCATTTTAATGTGAAACAAAGTTTTCAAGATGGTCATGCATTTGTCTGATTTGTGAAGCATTTCCATATTGCTGTCATCTAGGTTTATTATTATGTCTGTCTGGTTTGGCCTTCAAACAGATGAAACCATGTCTTTGGAAAATCTTATGAAAAAAAAAATTAGACATAAATTTAATACCGCAGTAAATACTGTATAAGATGAGAATGGTTGCTCAGCACATAAATTGTTTTATAAGCCTGAATGGACAAGTGTTTTTATACACTGTAAAATGTGACTATAATAAGTTAATGATAATGGTACTGGTACTGGTAATAGGCGNATGTTTAACTATTTTAAGTCCTGGGATTTGCCTGTCTTTTCAATGTAAATTTCAGTTTTCCCAAATATATTGTCCCCAAAAGACAATAACTGGTAATAGGCATATTCTGATGTTACTGATGTTAAGATAGGTACCCCCTATCACTTCTTTAGTATTTTAAAACCAAGGTTGGGTGATATAGTTGTACAGTGATGTTGTTTGCACTATTTTCCTCCAAGAGTTAGATATACATTGAGATGCTTTTAAAACATGGTGTATTAGGAAATTTTGTCTTGATACTTATCGTTTATTTTTAATGTGTGTGATGGATATTTGTTTATGTTTATCCAGTTAAGTTGACATAGAATTATCACCGTATACTGGTCTCATTCCTGTCTTATTGATCTAATACATGTTCTATATGGAATAGAGTTTTTTTACCAAAGAATTATTTAGTAAAAGATATGACCCTTCTAAAAAGCTGAGTTTCAGTTATATTTGAATATTTTTGTGTTTGATTTGTCCATAAAAGAAAGTACACTTTCAAATTTCTTATTTTTCAGAAAGCTGTACTGGGTGGACTACCAGCTGTACCTGGTGGACTACCAGCTGGAGCAGATGTTTGTGTCTGTGTTGAATGTCACCAGTGGTAAGACTCTCCTGTCCACTGAGATTTCCAACCCAAGGGCAGTGGCTGCTGACCCCTCCACAGGGTAAGAGAAACTTGAAAACAAACATTACCTTGGGATAACATAGTGGAGTGTGTTCTAGTGAGAACTGCATGTATAAGATGTACATGTCTGTTGATGCATATGTAAGCCTGTCATAACATGTTTTATCTTCTAGTCTTCTCCACTATGATACTGTGATTCTATCAAAGTGGTTTCACCATATATTCTGCCATTAATATTAATTCTTTGGGCAAGGTTATTTTCAGTTATGATTAATTCCTCTCGTTTTGTTTTTAACCATAAAATAAGATAAATATTATCATGACACAATTGGTTAAGAAAAATAACTAAAAAAAATGTAAAATTGTAGATAATGATAATAATAATAAATTTTTAATGGCCCAATATAAAGTCAGTGACTGCATACTCATGTTTGACATTGCTAATTTACTGATTTATATTAGTAATTTAAAATATGTATGATATGCTAGGCATTTTATTCCAGATATATTTTACTGGACAGACTGGGGTCATATCTCTTACATTGCTGGTGTGAGAATGGACGTCATAAACTGGTCATCTCTGATCATGGAAAAACTGGACTGGCCTAATTCTTTGACCATAGACTATGTCACCAGGAAGATGTGGTGGGCTGATGCACATCTGGATAACATTGAGTTAGTCTCAGATTTTAGTTATTGATTTTATAGGAAAATGTCAATGAATACTCTCATTTTTTATTATTGGAAAAATTTTTTTGATAAAATGTATTATATTTAGAACATCTTAAGTTGGCAAATGAAACCAAATTTGGTATGTGGTACTGTCACAGGTTATTACCTGCACCACAGCCAAGCAGGTCTGGAGGTTGTAAAGTTGATCTTCTTGTAACTGAGACATAAACAGTTCGCTGCAGGTTATATAGTTTTTCTTGTTCCATTTATAT